GGGGGGGGGGGGGGCTCCAACCACTGAGCCACACTAGACAGGCGACATTGAGATGATTTACGAAAAGTAAGATATAAAGAATTTTAAGAGACCTGAAATAATGAAATCCTGAATCCTCTTATTGATCTGAACATTATTTTTTCTTTAACAATTCACATGTAAAGATTCATTTTCAACATTTATCCTTCATAGTACATGGAATACATGGACAGCTATCCCAGTGAGACCTGCATATTTGGGAAAAAATGAGCCTTGTAACAAGCTTTAAAATTTTGTCACTTGGCAGCAGAAATTAAATTTTTATGGAATCCTACTATTGTGATGGAAAGACACAAAACATTTGTATTCTATTTGCTATCATAAACATGTTTATAAAGCTAAGTGTCATATTGATGAGTTTACTTTGTTTTTCTTTCATCAGAAATACTTAAAAAGGAAAGACATTGAGTCCATTAGAAAATCTGCAGCGGACCATTTTGATCAGGTAAGAAATTAATCAGAGCAGGTTTTTTCCTATCTTTTAGATTCAGTATTTTTAACTAGTAATTGCTTGAGCTCTTTCACTGTCATTACTTTTGAGGGTCTTGTTATTTCAGTTCATTCTTCTACTTTTCCTTTTTATTTTTAAACTTAACCTTACCCCTGGGTGTAATTCTAAGACTTCAGCTTAGTTTAATTCACAATCAGAATGGAAGTTCAACCGTAGCCTTTTAAAATAAACAACAGTACTTTAATCTGGTTAGGGAAATAAATAGAGCCCCACGTGCCCAAGATTTAAGTGAAAGTGTGGCAGGTGTGAGGAAAGCCTGTATTCGCTGTTCTTCCTGCACCCTCCTCTAAAATCCTGAATACACCTTTGACAGATGCATCTTGTGTTCTGGGCTTGGTTAACAGTAGAACTAAATGGGAGGAGAAGGGGTGGGAACAGGCATTCTTATACTGTCTCTGGAATGGACCCTGCCTCTGCCATATTGGAATCAATAACTTTCAAAATAGTCATGCTTTTGAGTCATTAATTTTCAGTGATACTTTAAAGCATCCAAAATATGAGACTTTATGCTCCATTCACTTGCAGTCTGCCAAGAAAATTGCAGAAATCTTTTACCTATTGACATCCCTCCTGGCCCTTCATTCTGTTTGTTTTTCATTATGATGAGATTACTTTTTAAATTCCTTTAGGATCATTTTGAAGGGGTTCAGGAGGGAATAATCTCAAATCTCTGTGCTGTAAGAAAAATAACCCCTCTTTTTAAAAAATTGTGAGTCAGTCTTTTCCTTATTGCAGGAAGTCTTGCCTGTGTTCCTGAAAGCCAACAGGAGCTGGAATTCTCCGGCTGCAAAGCTTGCAGCGGAGGAGCAGGGACCGGAGCTGATGGCACGAATGGAGGTCCAGGAGGCGGGTGTGGTCCTCCTGGCGGCCGGCGAGCACCAGAGAGCAGTAAGAGAGGCCACTTAGGCTCCGGGCTTTGGGGCTGAATGAACTCTCTTCTCCTGTGCATATCGTACATATTTGAAATTTACTTAATTTCATAAAATGGACCTGCTCTGTGTGAGTTTTCATATGAATAAATATCTTTCAGCACTTTATAATGCTGAATAGAAATATAATGCTGTTTAGAAACTAGTTTTTTCACCAGCTAGCAGGCTCCATTGGCACTGCTCACAGACCAGCTCTGGCTCTGATTAGGAAAGCCACTTAGGGAGAGGGCTGTTGGTACCCATTATACAACTATGAGAAACTATTTTCATTTTCAAGGTTTTGCAAATTAAGAAAATTTGATAGTCACTAACTTTATACATAATGCACTCCTGAAAATATGGAGGAACAGGTCTGCAGGGGCGCTGGGCTGGCAGACCTCCTGGCCCTACTTGGTCGTGGCAGGATTGTCTTCCTTGGGAGCAGCCGCTGGAGCCAGTGAGTGCTGCCGGGCACTGGCTAAATCAGCGTTCTTCAGGAGATACAAAAGACTGGATGTAGCTGAAGAGATCATTGTAAAGTATACAAAAGTGGTAGAAAAGTCAAAGGGATACTGGAAATACACTGTAAGGGTCAAGAAGTACTGATACTATTACTATTGTAAAGATAACTGAGGCTCAGATTAAAAATTGGCTCACACACAGCTGGGAAGTGGAAGAGCCAGATTTTTTTTCTAACCCTCAAAGTCTGGTTCCCAAAGTCACACTCTTGAGTTAACCTCTAATCCACCCTGCCTTTCTCATAGCAGCTGCATTCGTTGAACATTAAGTACATGCCAGGCACTCAGCAGATCCTCACACGCCCTTCAGGAGCAGTAAGGAAATCACGATTGGAATCGGTGCCCGTCCTGTTGCGCCTTATGTGTCTTACCTCACTAAGTCGTCACCACAGCCTTTTGGAGTAGATACCTTTTTTTTTTTTTTTTTTTTAATCTTCACCCAAAGATATTTTTTTCATTGCTTTTCAGAGAGTGGGAGGCGGAGTGGGGGGGGGGAGAAACACCGATGTGAGAGAGACACATTGATTGGTTGCCTCCAGTACGCACCCCACCTGGAGCCAGAGATTCAGCCAGCAACTGAGGTACATGCCCTTGGCTGGAATTGAACCTGTGACCCCTCAGTCCTCAGGCCAAGGCTCTAACCACTGGGAAAACCAGCTAGGGCTGGAGTAGATACTCTTATCTCCATTTCACTATGGCAAAGGGTGCAGAGATACTTGTAGCAAACAGATTCAGACCCAGGTCCAGCAAGCTGGATACCTGTGTTCTCAGTTCCCCAGTCACTGAGGCTGACAGTCTCAGACTGTTGTCTCCTGAGAAGCTGAGAGTGTATCTTCTATTAGCTGGCTAATCCTTTCTCAGAGAATGGTCTGGCTTTAGAATCCAGATCAGTCCTTTGCTGACTACTCTGTCCCAGTGGTTACCTCAGTGTTTGTGTCTTCTGTTTGCAGTGCTCTTTGCTAGGAAAATTACGACTGGAATGTGCTGACCTTCTGGAAGCAAGAGGAGTGCTACTCCGTGACCCAGCTCTGTTCTCTTTCCTTTGGGTGGTGGATTTCCCACTCTTCCTTCCTAAGGAGGAAAACCCCGGAGAGCTGGAATCGGCCCACCACCCATTCACGGCTCCCCACCCCAGTGACATCCACCTCCTCCACACTGAGCCCGAAAAGGTACCATGTCTGTACTTGCAAATGAAAGGAAATGTGGAAACAAAGCAGAACTTCAGATTTCAGTCTGACTCAGTTCTGGAAGCCCCAGAAGAAATTGTCAGGTTTGGGTCAGTAGTTAACATTTTCTAATGTAGAGACTCTGTCAATCTTCTAGGTCCGTAGCCAACACTATGACTTGGTTTTAAATGGCAATGAGATAGGAGGCGGTTCTATCCGAATTCACGATGCACAGCTCCAGCGCTACGTCCTGGAAATGATACTGAAGGTAACCTCATCTAACCTGGTCTTGTGTCTGTCAAAATGTGTCATGAGTGGAGGATTCACTAGATACAGGATAGTATCAGCTTATCTACCTTTAGTGTAAGACTTTGAAAAATAAAAAATAGCTGTTTATTTGTGCTTGCTAAATGCCAGGCACTGACACATTGAATTCTCATAGTCACTTGAGATAAATACCCAAATCCAGTGGCCTGTTCTTGGTCCTCAAGCTCTCCTACCTCCCAGCGGCATTTGGCACTGTTGCCTTGTAATGTCCTCCCTTGTCCCTGTGACAGGACAGCTCCCTGCTTTCTTCCTACCCTTCCTAGCCCACACCTCCATGTCCTCACTTGGTCTTACTCTGCATTATCACATAATAATAGCTGCATTTACTGAGTTCCAGGCATTTTTCTGCATGTTTTACTGTCTGTGACTTGTCACATTATCTTGCTCAACTACAAACCTCTTCAGGTCTTTTTTTAACCCACCTTTATTTTCCCTTCCCCACCTAAACACACTGTGTAGCGCATAATGGACCCTCAGTGTGTATTTCAGTGGAATTATCTTTTGAATTTCAGGAAGATGTGAAATTGCTCTCCCACCTGCTCCAGGCTTTAGATTACGGAGCACCCCCTCATGGAGGAATTGCCTTAGGTAAACAATCTGTCCTTGTACAAGCCACATGTCATTCCATTGCACTGTCTCAAATTTGGGCTCCCAGCTTAAGGGGGGGGGGGGAGTAGTAAAGGAGGTCCGGGGCGAGCCCAACTGTTCTACGGAATTTGTTTGGATTTCATTTCAATGATATATTTTTAAAATATTTTACCAATTATAAAGCTAAAACTTAACTGATAATTTACATTTGAAAGGTTTTTCTTAATAGAATGGAACTGCATGGTTTTAAGTCCATGTTGCTCAAATCCCTGGGAGCTCGGACAGTGGGAGGGGTCTGGACAGCCCTGCTGACGTGAGGGCCCTTCTGATGGCCAAGGATGCTCACCTTGCTGCTTTGATCAGCGGGAAGTTCTAGAAAGCTTGCCTAGATTGTGGACTCTAAGCCACAGGGCCTTCCTTCCGTGTTCTTGGAGTCCCCTGCACAGCACCTCATTTTGTTCAGCCGTTAGTAAGCCCTTGCTAAGGACTCATTACCTGCTGTCACTTCATCCCAGTAGACGTTGATGTTAGTCCTGAGCGTTTTTATAAAATGAGGTGGACAGTAGCCTCAAAGGCAGGAGCTATGCTTGTTAAAGATTCTTATTGAAAAGTTCTCTGTGACCTTTATGGAAACACTAAGTCACTCCCACCCTCGTATTACATTCTCACCTGTTAACTTTGCACTTTACTCGCAGGGTTGGACAGACTGATATGCCTTGTCACTGGAGCGCCAAGCATCAGAGATGTCATAGCCTTCCCAAAATCCTTCCGGGGACACGACCTCATGAGCGATGCCCCGGATTTCCTCCCTCCCGAGGACCTGCAGCCCTATCATATTAAGGTCTCCTGGCCAGCAGACTCGGAAGCGGGAAAGAACCCACTGAATCACCCACACCATCCAGAAAGTTGAGCTTTTGCGTCTCATCCCCTTTGCTTCCTCTGGAGTTCTGCTGAGGCCCTGACAGGTCTTTAAGTGGAAGGGCTCCGGGCAACAATGAAGAAGATATCCAATCTTGACTTGCATTATTAGGAATTGTTTGTTTGGGACTTTTTGAAGTTTCTTTTTACTTGGAGAGGTGTGAAAGATGGCTCTTTGTCAGAGTAATATAATGGCTAAGTGTTTGTTAATCATGTTTTTCATACTCAGATAGGTTTTCACTTAGGACAGAAGTAACCAAATCATGTGTGAAAGGTGAGAAAATATTTGCCCCTTTAAACTGGTGAGTTGGAGGAATCCGTTTAACGGGTGCCAAGAGAATCCTATAAATTAAGCTAGACAGTGACATTTCAGCTATCAAAATAATATAGTAAGAAACATGATATGCAAAACATCACTGAAATGAAACACAAAAAATCCCAGTCATTGCTTCACCTTGGGCAAGTTGCACAGGCCTCGCTCAGCCTCCCTCCTGCTTGTGTGAAATGCAAACTATTTGCCCTGGCTACCGCACAGGCCTCTTCCTGCCAGAATCAGAGATCATGTATGTGGGAGATATGAGTGAACATGCTTTGAAAAACTCTAAGGCATGACACAAATGACACCCGTCTGTAACCAGGTACAGGTATGTCTATTTTATAATTTAAGATTAAACAATTACCTGTAGTAAAAGAGTAAGTTTACTCACCAGTATTGTTTATATTTCTGTTTTTCTAAATAACCCCTCAATAACTTGATCCCTCAGTTTTACTGAAAATACTGACTTTAGACCAGCCTGAAATGTATAAAGTATACACTGAAACTCATTGTGATTTTCTTATATTTATTTTGACACAAATAAAAATCATGAAATGGGAACAAAGCCTTGATTAATGNCTTAATCATGAAATGGGAACAAAGCCTTGATTAATGAAATTGTCCTTTTCTACAGTCTTCACTTTCGCCTTGGCATTGATTTTTAATGTGAACGCCATTATTAGCTTATATTGCTGCCTGTTTTTCTGAGGACTCTAAGCAATAGGATACCACACTCTTCTACTTGAAATTAAAAGCAGCTTCAGTTCCAGGTCTCATTTCTGCTGCTCAGTGGGCTGGGAAGAGCATAAATGCCCTTCATGACTGTGTAAAGCTAGTCTCCCTTAGAAAGTCCCCCTAAAGTTGGTCCTTAACCCAGTCTCTCCCCGTATGTGGGTGGACCCTGGAGCAAGAAATCCTCGCTGGGCTAGGAGCTGAGGGGGCATGAAGGTGAGTAAATTGTTCGTCGGGAGCTTTTAGCCTGGTAGGAGACATAAACATGTATTGGTATGACGCAATAAACGGCTAGATGAGGCCATGCAGGGAAGAGGCCCGGAGAGCAGCATAGCCGATAGGGAAGGCCTCTTATAGCAGACTCCTCAAATGCTGGCATCTTGTTGCTGTGCTTGCTTCTTAGCCTTGACCTTTCTTTTAATGCTTTAAGTATATAGGTCACTTAAGTCCAGGCTCAGCTTTCTTATCTGTGCAGTGCAGCACACCAACACTTGCTTCAGTTTTATGCCAAAAGTAAAAAAAAATCCTTTTAAAGCCCAGAGATGTTAAGGAACTCGAGGATCCCTTTAAAGAAAATATTAAAAGCTGACATTTAAAGAACAATGGTTTTGAATTATGGAACCCAGCCTTCCAGCTTGAGTGTAATTACATGAGACCTTTTGTGTTCTTGGCAGGACATGTAGTGAAACACTGAACTAGAACTGCCCACTGTTGGCTGTGATGCGGTTGGTGTCAATGTTATTTTCCTCAAATGAATTACATGAGATCTCCCATGTAATTTTTCAGGCCAAGCTGGAAGTATAAATCTGAGAACCAGGGATTCAGTTACCACGCTGTAACAGCACCTTATACACCCTTCCACACCTTCCCATGCATGTCACAGGTTATAGAATTACAGGTTCCAAGAATTTGAGGGCATTATATTAGACATTATAGTCCAACTTCCTACTAGTGCCTAAGGTCCCACTCGTTTTTTTAATCAGTCCAGTCCCACTTTTGGATACAGGGTTTGTTTGACCACAAGCCTCCCCAGTCTTCTGTAAAGCCAGCTTCTCCCGCCCCGTCCCCCAAAGTACACCATTGGGACTTTCAGTCCCAGACTAATATTCCTGCCTAGTCTTTCCTAAGAGACCCTTAGGTATATTAAATTCTGTTAATTACAAGTGTTGCTATATACTGACTTATCTGTGTGGCCTGTTAAATTGAGCTTCTATTTATCTGTAAAATGGAGCCAATTCCTAATTTGCTGTCATTAAAAGAAAACACCATATACTAACCACTCAAATAGCTTTCTTTCATCACCCAAGTTTATTAACGAGATAGGATTAATGCTTGTAGTTTGTATACTTCAGATTAACTGCTTCATTTGTCATCTCTGTGGCTAGTCTTCCCAGCTAGTTGACCTAACTGAAGTCATCCAGGCCATGGATGACCTTTATTAGGAGTGGTAGTTGCTACAAACTTTGTGTTAGGGTAACTTCTGCCCCATTTCAAAATTAGGGTATTTTTTGTTAGCCTTTTAGCACCCAATCACTAAAACTCCTCAAAGACTTCACCCAATCACACCTAATTCTTTCAATAAATATAACCACTACTAAAAAACAGGCTTGGAAACACTGCAATACAGCAGACCAAATCCCTCTCATGGAGTTTATATTCTCGTAAACATGAACAAATGAATTTAAGAGCTAGTGCGTGTTTCAGGGTCTCAGGACCTGTGGGAGAACATTTGAATAGGAACCTGGAATGGAAAAGTAATATGGATGTTTGAATTGCCCTGTGGAACATCAAGCATAAAAAGCCTAAAGGAACTTCAAAGTATGGGTGCTAATGTGGCCAGAGCTAGTCACTTGAAGCATTACTTCTGCACACCCTGAAAAGGTCAGAATTCACCCTAACCAACAGCACCTACTATTCGAAGATTCAGATTTGCAGTCTTCACAACTTTTAAGCTATCAAACAGGGAAGTCCTATGATAAATCACAGCTCGACGTTCCAACCCCAAGTGCTAAATTAGAAAGTGAACTGAAATTTGATTGGCAGGTATTGACTAGGCTTTTCAAATTACCTGGTTAACCCACTGGTTAACTAAATTAGTGCTCCTAAACGGACTTTCTAAAGATAAGGATGCTGTTGTAACCACAGTACTAATGACCTCAAAAAATTTAAACAGGCCACGTCATTTTTAGATTTTCTTTCCTTTTAATACGCATCTTCTAGGGGAGATCCATCCCTGAGATAGGCAGTCACTCCCTCTCTCACATATTTTTGGCCAGAGACCCAGCACCATCACGGTGCTTACAGCAAATGGAGGTTTCCAGTTTCAGCACTTTCCACTAGTGGCCATTAAGAGTACCTGCTTTTTGTTGTTGCATTTTTTCCTGTATAAGCTCATGTTCAGATGGTTCACTTGCCCATTTTGGACATTAAGGGGAACCACTGGAGAGTGCTGTAATTTACTCCTCAGCATAAACTCCACTTTCAAACCTAAGACATCCCATGAAATACACACGGAAAGGCCAACTGGCTGTATACTGTCAGGGGGTCTTACTTACAAAGATGTCCCATTTTCCTTTCTTCATCCCATTAAAGATGAAATAAGCAGACTTGATCAGATGGTTTATAAAAATTTATTAAAATTCACAGTTCTTTGATCTTCTGTTCCATGAGCATCCATCCAGCTGCCTGCAAAAAAATAGCCATTTTTAGTCAATTGCCATATTCCAATTCTAATGATATTTCAAGCACAGTCCACAGAATATCAGATCTGCTATCATCATCAAGTAATCAGTGAGAGAGTTCAAGTTGTGGTGAGATCATCATGTATTCTGGAATAGAACAGCAGCACTGATATTTTCAAGGCTTACCTTTCAACAGTCAGCTGCATGACTGCAGTCAAATGCCTGAAAGCAAAGAACACACATTAATCATGGTAAAAAGAAGCTTGCATGATGCTTGTTAGTAAAGTAACCTCAGAATCAAAATGGAACGGTTTTATGAGTGATATCATCCTATTTCATTTGGCAGAATCACTGCATCACTGGTTACATTCTAACTTATCATATATACCAAAAACTGACTTACCTGGAAATCTCCAGGGTTACACATCTGCCTGTTTCAAGATGGGAAAAAAAGACGTGCATTAGAAATTTACCCTACCTACATTTTTAACTTTTGGAAAAATAACATGTAGGGCAGTGAACCTCTTCTGTATAGTACAATGGTGACTGTTCCATTATACACCCATGAAGAGTATACCACGAGTGAACTTTGGGGGCAACAATGTGTCCTTGAAGGATCGTAAGTTTAACAAAAGGCTCACTCTGGTGGCTGGATGTCTCGACTATAAAGTGTACAATTATAATATTTATGGGAACTCTGTACTTCCTGTTCAATTTTGCAGTGTAAGAGCAAAATTAAACTTAATGAATTAAAAAGCAGAAACAGCTAAGTAATTCAGGTATAATCTACATATTTATATGTATGCCATAAAAATTTCTCCACAAAGTATATTATTATATTAACCCTTTGCGGTCGTTTGTCTACTCTCAGCCACCAAAGCTTTTTTACCGTTCCGGTCGTATGTCTGCTCTCAGCCACCACAGCAAGGAACCGTACGAATCTTCACTCTATTCATTCGTGTATCAGTTCATAATTTCTCTTGTTTATCCTTCATAATCTTGCATGTTATGTATCACTGCTCTTTCAATGGAAATTAATTCCGACCAGTACGACACCCATGTCCAAATTTAATATGACCGCAAAGGGTTAACCTGCACTTCTCCAGAAGTGAGTTCTTAATCCTCCAATTAACACCACATAGAACATTTATTTTAACACCTTAGTTACCCAAACCCCTGAATGTTTTGGTGAAACAATGGCCAATTCCCCTTTTCGAAGTTATCAATGATTGCTGCAGCCAGATACATCAGATAGGAGCGAAAGACAATATTGCTCATCACTGTTAAGTCTGCTGAACTATGTTATCATCATTGTATCGGCTTTAAACCACTTAACACAGAAACCAAACTTGAAACAACCATACCTTTGCTTAATGCTCTTTGCTCCAGGACCTGTAGCCAACCCAACTCTTCACACCTGCTGAAAATTATCCAAATTTAGTCACAGGTAATAATAGGAAAATTTCTAAAACTTTCCAGGTACTGTTTCAGTTATAAAAAAAAAATCTTCATTCTTTTTCAGAGAGATTCCCATCTGTTTTTAATTTCAAGTCATCACTAACAGCACCATGCTTAGTAACTAGCTAGGATTAATAAAATACATACCTTTATTTTAAAGGTCTCCAAAATCTGCTTCTGAAAAAGAAAGTATTTCTTTAAACTATTTCTCAAAACTATCCATGGCTTTGTACAACCAGAAAACACTAACAGTCAACAATGACTAAGACCAGCACATTTCAACAATATAAATCTGTGTACCAGAAGCCAAAAATTTCTGTCTTACCTCAAGCATGCCATCCACAAGTAAAAATGTGTATCCAACAGCTAGAAGGGAAACAGGACTTTATTAGTGTTAAATTATCATTAAATTCTTTGCTCAGCGTTATTTGTCACAGGGTTCTTCAGTGTTCAATTTGTCTACACGCTCACTTCAGGTCAGACATTTGACCAACATCATTATAAAAACCCCCTTTGGAGCATGCATTAACATGTGCTCACTAATAAAACACAGGACATAAGCACTAGTAGCTTGGTAGTTAAACTGTATTTTATCAGCATTCTCAGTAACAGTTTTGAGCCTATTAGAATGTTTTTAATTGATACTTACCAAGAAAAAAATAAAGCCAGTCCAAATATGTCAGAGACTCAAGTCCACCTAAGAAAGAAAAGTGGTTTTACAATAGCCACAGATTATTTTCTTCTTACCAATCTAAACAAATGCCTGAAATCAGGTAGAGCTAATAATTAAGAACTTCACGTTCAGTCAGTTTTTTATTATCATCATACAGGCTTGCTTTCAAAAATCATGACATCTTAGGAGTGGTAACAGGACAAAGATCTGGCGTTTACTTAGTGCACTCAGGACACCCTTCAAGCACTTCATGGGGAGTGCTTCCTGTGCATTAGGAGGCGACCTAAAAAGCCACTAGTAGCATTGTCCAGTTACTGATGTTTAAATCATAATTTTACTTACCATTCCAACTTCCAGTCAGTTCTTTTTAGTGCCTATACAAAAGACGGATGCTGCATTAGTAGTGGTATTATGCTTATGCTCTTACCAGCAAAAGTTTTTATCAGATACATCAGACAAGTGGTACATCTCTTCAGGATTCAATCTGCTGAACTATGCAAGCATCATAGTATCTGTTTCTTCAGGTGTCCCCCAACATTAAGTATCAGAGTGCAGAAATTCATGTTTGAAAAGGGAAGGAGGAAACCCCTAAGTATCAGCTCTGATTTGGCAACGTGTAATCCCTTAGAAAAGTCATTGAGAAGTCCTGGGTAAATACAAACTATAAAAAGGTTTCTCACCTTTCTGACCATGTCAAGAGTGTGATGCTTGAGCTTGAAGACCTGGGAAAGGAAGAGTGTTTCATGTCAACTTAGATGCAATCTTTATTTTCCCTAATCACCATTTTGTGTGCCTCAGTTAAAATAATGGTGGTAATACTTCTCGTCATTCTCACAGTCGAGAGTAGCAAATAAAATGTCATCATTGTGGCACATTGAGTGGACTTTCAACCTAAATTCCCAGCCTAAGGGAACTTACCCCAGCAGCAACTGTTCTCATTCCTTTGGCACAGACCTAGGAAACAGAAAATACCCAATGAAACACAATGTGCAGCCACGTTAAACATTATCGTCACTAACATTTAAGCCTCAGAATAGAATTTTTCAGAAATCCCTTCTGCCCACTACTCTTAAACCATCACAGGCTTAACACATAACACCATGTCTATGCAAATTTCATTCTCCCCACTGTATTTACCCGGTTTTTTACCTGTTCATCAGACGTCACATTGCACTCGTGCCTAGCACCATTCCTAGGGAAGAGACTTTTTTTAGTTCATTTTGTTCTAAATTAAGCATTACGTCATTTTGTATCGCCTGTGCAAGTCGTTTAACCAACCATAATGTCATTACTATAACGGGTGCACTCAACGTTTTTTAAAGAGAGCACTGCACAGGTCAAGTGAAGAACCACTGACGTAAATAAGGGTGCACTGCGGACGGCAGCCACTCGGGAGAACCACGTGGCCAACCCCAGTTCCCCGCCTTCCAGGAGGAAGCGGCTCCGTTACGGTCATTAACAAAGACCCACTCGGTGGCCCGGCATGCGCCGCCATCAGAACTGTTGGCATTCATCAACAGTCTCAGCTGTCCCTACCAACACACGCTTCATCAGAGGCAGGGCACGCGAGCCCACGTTATTTCCGCAGTTCGGCCCAACACCCGGAGCGCTGAGTTTACGTCGCGCCCGCGAACAACGAGCAATCCTCTACAATCCTCAGCCTGTGGTTCCTGCAGAGGCTTGCGACTAGCCCAGAAACGCCACCCAGGGCGTTTCAGTCGCTACGACCTGAAGGCCTCGAGCCAAGAATTCACGTAGCATGCGCAGAAGAAAACACACGTACCAGCAGCAGAACTCCATCCTCAAAAGGCCGAGATGGCGTCCAGGCGCCCGTATATGAGGATCCCGCTGCATGACGTCATGACGCACGATGCCTGCCAGCGTCTGCTTGAGCTCCTCCCCCGCCCTTCCCTCAGTCTCCTCCTCCAGCCACACCTCCTCCCAGTCCTCTAAGCCCGCCCTTGGCCACGCCCCTCGGCTCGTGGGTGGGACCGTGAGCGCCCACGTGACGCAGGGCTCCCACCCTCCTACCGACCACAGAGGAAGACAAGAGAGGGGAGGGGGCGCGAGGGACAGAAAGCGCTAGGGGAGGGGGGAAGGGGGGAATGGTAAAGGGTGAGTGATTTCCTTCCGGCACGTCGCCCGCTCCGGGGGAGGGGGCGGGGGTTTTCACTTCCGGGACGGTGTTCCGGCCCATTCCGGCCCATTTCCACCCCCGGAGGTAGGTGCTGCTCCTTGACGGCTGCGGCCCCGCACGCCGGTCCCGCTGCTCTGCCCTGGGGCCGCCCCACCCGGTCTCCTCCGCAGCCTGCTTATGGGGTGCTCAGCCACTTTCCTTCACCCCCACCTCAAGGCATCCGGAGACCTTCCACCCCCTTGGCCCCGGGCCGGGCTGAGCTGCCGGACCCGCCCCCTCGCCTGGTCCCTCCCTCAGGACCCCG